CAAACTTCTCTCACGATTAAATCTGGAGGCAAGATTGGCATAGGCATTGGCGCATCCGTCAGCACCTGTCTCTCAGCTGCGACCCCATATCAAAGCCCAAAGCAAGAATGCCGAAACCCTACAACAGAGCGAGCCTGCCCTACAGCCTCAGCGTTCAACTCCCGAACCACTCACTCACTCACTCACACACACAGACACACACACACACACACGCGCACACACACAAACACGCACACGCGCACAAACACACACACACACATACATCCATGCGCGCGCATGCACAGCCCTAAGGTGCCGGGGTTTAGTCTGTCCGGGTTTAGGGTTTAGGGGGTTGAGGTCTTGGTATGTCCTGTTCTCGAATGAGCTGTCTTGCAGGTCCCCCAGTGAACCAGGGTTTGTGCATCAATGTAACGAGACACAACTACGTCTCGCAACTCGGGTAGAGCTGGGATATACCACTAGCCAGTCAGCTAGTCCGCACAAGCCAGAAAGCCACATGCTCCTATTAAAACAGGTCTCCATAGTGTTGGGAATAACCGTTTAATGCGTTTCATTATTGGTACATGTCCCAAACTTTCCCATATCCCTTAATTAAGGAACATACCCTAATAAGTTTTCATAGGAAACCAAATATGATTTAAGGTCAATTCCTGACTTAAAGGTTTTGGACGGTCTGGGCATATCGAGATCTCCCGGCCAGGCTATGTTCCCGAAAAGCTTTGTGGCTCTTAGAGTGGAGCTCCCCAATAATTGTGGATTTTAGGGCTTTATGAGGACCCAACCCGAAACCCTAAACCCTAAATCCTAAATCCTAGACTTTAGGGTTTAGGGAGAACCCAACCCTAAACCCTAAATCCTAAACTTTAGGGTTTAGGGAGAACCCAACCCTAAACCCTAAACTGTAGGGTTTAGGGAGAACACACTTCATCAAAAACATCATCTCCCGACGGTACAAGTCCGGATATGGGCCCTAGAAGCCCAGTTTGCTAGACAGTGGTTTACTCTACGATTGAACAGCATAAGGCATGCAAGGCGGTCATATCACTAGGTAAGTCCTGGTAGGTAATTGAGCCTCTCTGGAGCCGTCTTCTTTGTTAAGCCACCTGGATGGCGTAGAGGTTGCCAAAGGGCACATTCGAAGCCAGTTTTTTCATGACCTGCTTTTGGGGGCTCTGGACATACTGCTTGTGCAAGTTGTGGATTTCTACGGTTTGGGAGCTTGTGTCCCCAAGCCCTAAGCCCTAAAGCCACAAAGTTGCAGGACTTGAGGAGGAGAGGATCTTCCTGCAGCTGAGGTTTCGGCCAAGATGGCCGGGCATGAAAGCCTCCATCGCATTAGTTACTTCCTTCTGTGCCTCTGTAAAGCCTTTTCAAGGAAACCAAGCCCTAAACCCTAAGCCGTGTCGGAGTCGGATCGGCCGGGGGTTCTGCCGCTATCCAAACCGCAGACCATCGCGCCAAGCATACTGACAAAACCTACATCGGGGTCCGTCTATATGTTATAATATGCATACATCTATATACATACATGTGTATATAGATAGATAGATAGATAGATAGATAGATACATACATGCATTCATACATACATACATACGTACGTACGTACATACGTACATACACACATACACACACATGCATACATACAT